TTTTAACCAGGGGCTGGGGCGTGGCCAGCACCCCCACTTCTCCGCCTTTAGGCAGGCAAGGATGATGGGGAGGCCGGTGGAGAGCGGTGGGGGCTTACCTTTCCATCATCCCCCATCGCTGCCAGGCTGAAGGGGGGAGAGATGAGCGGCCCCTTCTCCAAGCAGCTCCATCCAAGGCCGGGGAGATGCCCAAAGATGCCGGTTCCCACTTTCCAAAAACGACCCGATTCCATCCTCCTTTTCGCGCAACCGGGAGCGGCTCCTTGTCTTCGTGCGCCATCTAGCGGCCAACCGAGGGAAGCGGGGGGAGCTGGATCATAAAACGCCTTTTCTGCCACGCTCCGTGATAAGCTGGCAGGATGCTTGCAACGCCCGGAAAAACTTTAGAAGACGGTGCTGAATTTTAGGTGGTGCAACCCTCTCCCGGGTGGGATGTCACGCCTTAAAATCAAGGTAATACGTTTCAAAATAAACCAAAACGAATTAAGTGATGTAAACCCTACATGGTGAGCCCAAAAGTTCCTAATAGAAGTGTTCAATAGAATTAATAAGGTACCGCTATACATACTTAGGTTAGCCACTGTTTAGGAAAGTAAAATGGTATATGTATATTTTTAATTTTGTTCCACTTGCTTTGTATGCAAGGGTTTTTTGCCCTTTTAATTTGATTTCTTGACCATAAGAAACTATTCTGATTTATTCTTGCGGTAGCTAGATGTGCTGAAAAGGAACTTCCCTGGCTTCTTGCTTGAACTCTGGTTATTGCATGGAAGTATTCATGTAGTTTTCTTGGCTGCAGCACGTTAAGCACTTGGCAACTCCTTCTTCTTGGATTAAAAAAAAAAAATACTATTAGTTCCCAGTCCTGGAATTTCTTACATCCCTGGAATTTCCTCGTGGTCTTCCATCCAAAAACCAGATGGGGTTTTGGCTAGCTTACCAGCCAAAATCAGCGAGTTGCCAGCAGCCGCTGCGGCTACACATATTTATTTACCTGCAATTAAATTCCTGGGAATTCAGTGGGTCTCCTAGCTCAATTATTCTTGGCACAATTCTGTACGTCTGCCTCCCCTTTTCTACACATCTCCTTTTTCAGTTTGTGTTTCTGGCATGTGCTGACAGTGGAAATGCACTCCGTTGGTTGGTTTGCATCTGTCAACGCTTCGTTCTCTCGGCTTCCAACTTCTCACCCTAATAGGTTCCCATGGGAAGATCCTTTAACAGGCACTTTCCAGGAGAAAGTGAGCCAAAGGGAGTGGGGTGTGTGTGTGTGTGTGCGCGCAACAGTGCGAGCAGACAATGTGCCCGTAGGATAGGCTGGATGAATCACACCTCCCCAAGCAGCTCGTGATCCCAGTTCTGCAGAGTGGAGTCTAAAGCACAGCCCAAGGGCCAAGGCCATGCTAGCTTGCTATTCTGTTCTTACTTAAAAAAAGATGCTGCTGACTTTTGAAACTAGGGTTGGTTTGGTAGGCAAAGAGTGATTCTAACTAGGTGACCGCATCTAGCTAACTTTGGCTGATCTCAACCACTTCAGCAGAGTTGATCTGGTTAGTACGGGCCTTGGAGGTCACTGGCGTTGTGCGCTAGACTGGGAAGTTGGAAGCTTCCAGAGGAAGCCATAGCTACTATTTCAGATTCTTGCCAAGAAAGCAACCGTGAGCTTGTCTATGGAGTCACCAGAAGCTGAGCTAGACCCAAAGGAAGCGTTTGCTGACCAGATGACAGGATGGAAAACTCCAGGCCTGGAAACAAGCCACCAAGACCACCAGTTCCAAACCAGAAAGTCCTTCTTGGGTTTGGATTGTAACTGGAAGACTTCTGAGAACCCCCTCAAGAGAGACCTTGGCAGAACTTAACAGCACTTTGAATTCACATGGACAGTACATCTAATGATTCCTAGTCAGGATGAAACTGGGACGTGTTGCCTCCTGGTGGTCAGTTTCAATCTGCAAATCTATTTTGCAGATCAAGATTGCTGTGGTGGAGAACAGATGTAGCTCAGGGTTGGAGCGTTGGGGTCTTGGTGTTCTCCAAGGTTGGCTTCCTTCTTGTAGACATTGCATTAGCAGACTAGGTAACACTCATCATTTCATGGGGACGGGAGGTTGGCTGGCTGTCCGGATACCTCTCTTGCTGGTTTGTTGACCAGCAATTTTTTTTTTCTTTGATTGGCACGCTATTGTCTAGAGCTAATTGTCTTGATGAGGTTCTTACATATCCGGGTGTGTGATAAGGGGGATGTCCTCTGGGCTGCTAATAAGGTTCATTTCTCAAGGTCTGTTGATGGCTAATTTGTCAGAATGCCAACCTTCTAGGATTGCCTTACATTCTTAGGCCTGTGAATTTGTCTGCATGCTGGGAAATTAATGAATGTTGTGCACAGATTAATTGTCTATGAGAAGGAAACCAAGCTCAGAGAACACCATGAAGCCGACATAACTGTACCGCATCCAATTTCTTAAAATATTGAAATAGAGAATCTTCATTTTTATGTTCATGTTTAAATGGCAGAATAATTACTCTATCTATGAGAAGTCTGTGAGGTGTACGGTGGTAAAGGTCAGTTCACAGAGTTATAAGCAGCTTTTGTTTCCATTAAACTGAACCGTTGGGATCGTTCTTGTAATAACGTGGACCAAAGCCAGAATAATTTTAAGTTCTTCTCTTCTGGGCGCTCCCAGTTTTAAAGTGGATAAATAGATCAAAACACCACTGCCCTATTCAGTAGCGAGAATTTCATCTGATGCTTTGATAATGTTCTTATTCATTTAATGAACTAGCAGCGCCTAATGGGTTGGGGGAATAGGATTCCCGCCTTGATAATTTATATTCCGAATTTTATACGTTGCTCATCTGAAAGTCATTTTTCCCCAACAGCATCAGCACCCCTGCAGCTAAGCAATTTTCCCATCAGTGGTAAGAACACAAGGTCACAATATCCCATACAGTGGTGTGAAAGACAAACTTGTGTTGGCAGTTAACCATAATTACTAGAAGCTCGTGAATGACCATGCTGTTCCTCCAATTTATCTATTCCTTCTTTAAAGACATGGAAACACACCTCGCCGAGTGAGTTTCACAAGTTAAATTATGCATGGAGTGAAAAAACACAGTGCATGTTTCCTCCACCAGTGATTAAAAAGAAGCGATGTGATACCTTCACCTTTTGGAAGATAAAGATGACCGTGATCAAGAACTGACCAGGTAGCAGGAAAAGGTGATGAAGGGAAAGCTATAAACATATGCACACAAGCATAGGAGATTTAAATGTCAGTATTCTTGGAAAAGAAAACACTTCCTTCTGCAGGAATAAAAAAGTACTGCCCAGGTTGTCTTTTGTCCAATGTATTGTGCAAATCACATTTGTGAAGACACATTCCCTTGGGTAACATTTCTTGAAGAATCAAATCCTTTGACAAAGATCATGAAGATATTATCCACACTGGCATTCCTACTTAGCATTAGCCTAGGTATGCAAAAATCATATTCCCATAAGGAGCAAATTCAAATATTACTTTCTGATTCACATTTGCTACCAAGACACTGGATGAACACAAACCATCTTGGCAGAGCCTACCTTAATCACAGCTCAAACTACGATGGAGCTTCTCCTACTTGACCAAAAGCAAAGAAAAAAAGAGGAAGACGGGTCAGGTGAAAATATTCACCCAAATTCTTCCTCTCATTGGGGAATTATTTGGAGTTAATCTAAATTATAACAGGATCAGGTGATAAAATAGACTCTACCACCTCAAACTGCAGAGGAGGGGGACTTTTTTTTATATGTACTTTCTCATCCAATATTCCAGTCTTGTCTCCTTTTTTAAAAGAAAAAGATCTCCCACGAAGAGGCAATTTGCAGCCAACTCCTGCCTGATTTCCATTGTTTCTTTTTATTTGATTTCAAGTCATTCTGCCAAATAGGGCATTAGTGAATACCAAACATGTTCTTAAACGAAAAATAATAATAATACTAACTTTGCCCTGTGGAGAGAAGCCCTGGATTGACAGAATAGAATTCCACTGCAGACACTTCCAATCCCATATTTTAATTTTTGTCACTAAAGATAATGCAGCAAGCCAGTGGGCCCGCTGTAGCTGATTTCACTCTTTCCTATACTACGTCTTCTGCTGAAAGAGAGCATGCATGAAACTAGATTTTTTTCAGAAACAGTGAACTCTTTCTATAGGTGCAAACAGATGAACATTTTCCTCTCGGTGATGGTGTAGATCCATCTGGACGCTTGGAAGAATTCAGTCATTTTAGACATGGAGCATCCAAGGTTATTAAACTGAGGCCCAGGGTCATGAACTGGCCAACCTGGAGATTATCAATCCTTAAAATATGACTACCCAACAAGAATTCAGGACAGAGGAGGACAATTTCCTTATCTAATTGCAAAGGCAGACAATCCTTTGAGGGCCCAGAAGCACTTTTAGTCAACAAACAAGGATCACAGGTGATGTGGTTAAAAACAAACAAACATAGGAGCAGGAATAGAATTTCTGGCCCTTTTATAATCATTAGGCACGGAGGTGTGGGTACGTGTATCTGAACTGAAATATGATGGAGGTGTGTGAAGCATATCAGAGACTCAACACACTTATTTTGCTTCTTAATTCCAAACCGTGTAAAATCATTCCACTGCTATTCAGCAGGACATTTCTGAGTTTCAGTGGTGCCACTGGAGAGGGCTGTGTGGATGGCCAAAAATATTATGTATGATCCAAGGATATCCCAACCCTGAAAAGAAATGGTGGGGCAAAAGATAGGTTGCATCTTCAATCTTGTTTCCAATATGGATGTCCATCCCTTTGTTGCTGGCACTACTCAGTTCTAGCTAAATAACTCACCCTACCTAACCTGAACCTAGAATTCATTCTTTTTCATCATCTGGTTATCTACTCCAATGGGATTCAAAGAATTCCGTGTCTTCTGGGGCCATCTGGATCACGGCGACACCTCCACCTGGGTGACGGCTTTTCATGTTGCCGAAACGTCTGCAAAAGAAGCAACAGGGTCAGTGTTTACCTCCAGGAGCTTGTTGGCAAAGCTTGCTTCACACAACAATGGCACATGTCAAAGACAGACATCAGTAACTCACACAGGCATCTTATTTAGCAAGCATGAAAATATTTACAAACACGGTTCCCTATTGCCTGGGTGTGCTCATTTGACATTGTGCTTCTAACGCATAATGCAGCAAGGAGGAAAAAAGGTCACCGCTATGAATCAGTTTCACTTCCATAAATATCATCCATGGGATTATAAATAAGCAGATAGGAGGAGAAAATGGAAGTAGACTGCATATTCATTTTATCTGAAGAAGCATTCCAACACAAGGACCTTTAGCTTCCATTTTCATCTTCTTCCTGCTGCTCGAACATCACATGCTGCCAGCTGGCCTTCAGCAGATCTCAAAAGGTAGGGTTGGAAAAGGCTACTGGAATACCTGGATGGGAGATCATCCATATTGTAAGCTAAGCTGGGAAGTTGGGGGTAAAAAGGATCTCCCAGAAGAAGACCTTGACCAACTACTTCTATACTGCTGCCAGGAAAACTCCACTAAGTGTCCGTGAAATCAGCAAGAGTCAAGCTCCCTGCAAAAGAGACTTTACTCTTTTTTTTCTAACTTGGGCAGAATATTACAAATCGGTGTCTTTTGGAGATGGACGGATTGCTCTCCCTGTTTTTCGGCTGATGCATTCTTGCTAGCCTATGAGATAGTCTTCTAGAAATCAAGGCACTCTTCAACTACGCTGGGCTACATCTTCAGAATTCTCAGCCTCTCTGGAGGTCAAAATATAACACATGGAGTGGCACTCAGGAGGATAAAGTGGATAAAAGCTGTTCTTATACAGACTGAGATGTACCAAGCAATATATAGCGGTGGTGCTGGTAAGGAAACAGTTCCTCTTAGAGCAGAGAGTTGGCCTAATTCACAAAACATCAACTGGCTTTCAGGTCCTGCAAAATGCTTCTCAGGCAGGATGACAAACGGAGCAGAGAGAGAAACAGGAGGAGCAGATTTATCACAGAATTCACTTCTAAGATGGACTGTCCTCCCACGTTGTATATTTCAAGCAGTGACTAAACACGGATGGTCTGATGGTGCCGCATCGGTTCTCCATCTACTTTCACTGTTCAGGCTTTGCTTGCCAGTGATTTAGATAGCTAAATTGCCACCCTTGAGAAATCCCCAAAGTTTGCAGAAATATGTATTTGGGGGGGGGGGATCAGTAGAAAGAATCCTAACCCCTCCTTGCCCTAAACCAGCCTAGTGATATTCAATATGCTTAGGGGAGGACTGATGGCAATTTGAGAGAGCAGGAGGAATTGTAAATCAGTGGGGATTAGCAGCACCCCATAAACATTGCACCATTCTAAGGGATCCTTCAGTGCCTTCTTAACTCTAAAACAGGATTTTTTTCCAGAGGTAAGAAAGGCAGGCTTCCAACCTGGAAATAAAAAGAAAGAGTGGGTTTGAGAGGACATGGATCCTACAGAGAAAGGCTCTTCAGGGTAGACTACAAGAGCGTAATAGTCTCTCTGTCTCTCTCTTTTTAATGTATTGATTTCACCGTTTTTGTAACCCCTTCCAATCTGCCAACTTTGGGTGACATGCAGCAGAGCAAAAATACAGAATAAGAATGTGCCATCAAGAGAGATCCCTTGGATGAACATCTCTGCAAAGGGATATCAAGTCTACCTCCACGCGTTGATATCCAGATCAAAGGCTTCCACCGTTGAAACGTGAACGATGCCGTCATATCCACCAATGGCTAGGAGGTATCCACTGATAGCCGCAACATTTACCTGCGGGTAAAAAATTTAAAAAGAAGTTTACAGCCAACCACACCAAAAATGGTTTCCTTTCCACCCCTTAATTGGGTATAGGATATGGAGAACTCAACCTTATTTAACCACTCTTACCTGTGCTAGTAGAGCCATTAGATTTATCACAGATTAGGATTTGTTCATGTACTCAGCCCATAAAAAGTTCCCAGAACTTGGAAATCATCATCCATCGTGGTTAAAAAAAAAACCATAGACTTCTCTAACACTTTGTGTTTGGAATGTTAATTCCTGGGGTTTACGTGGTTGTTTTACAATGTCAATTTTTTGTTTTCGTTTTGTTTATCTACCGGGCTTCCAAATTTATGGATACAAGGAGTTGTACATCACTCAGTCAGTTGATTAGATCAGCCTATAAGCCCAATAAATACATCAATAAATTTCATCTTAAGAATTTCATCCTAAAAGGGAAGAGAGATGCAATGATTCCACAGCTGGCATCATTACCTATACCACCTTTAAAAAAAAGTTTTCTTCCACCCCAATAGCCCTTGAATTTCCAAATTCATTAGAAGGGAGCAAAAAAAAAAATCTAGCAAGGAGTGGAAACCTGGGGACTGTTCGTTAAAGGAAGTTGCGTCTTCAGATCGAAATGCTTCTCTGAAATTCTTTCAAAAGGAGGTTGAACAAGAGGAGCCCTACTGAGCCAGATCCAGTTGGTGGTCACTGAGAGTTTCTCCTCCACAAATCCTCTACCAGGAATGCAGAAGCAAGGTAGCCTATCAGAGCAGTCAATCTGATTTTGTTCAAAAACTCCTTTGAGTTGAGCTTGACTTTTGGGAACTCCATGGAGACATCACAGCAATACAGGAATGGGTATTTTCTTGACTTCCCTAGCCTATGGTTTTAGGATTTCCTGTTAGACTCACATTCCGGTAACAACCAAGACCAACCCTAGTTCGCCTTTCCAGAGTAGCCAAAGTTGGCTATTGCCTGTCTGGGCCTGGCGATCCTTACCTTACTTCTTTTTGACTTCATGGGCATAATAGGAGTCCATCTATTGGTGAGTGGATCGAAGCGCTCAGCAGTGCGCAGTTCGGTCAAGTCATCCTGCCCGCCCACAGCATAGATCTTGCCTTGGTATGCGACGCAACCCAGGTTTTCACGACCGCTCCGGAGTGGAGGGCAGGGAGTCCACTGGTCTTCTGTGGGATTGTAGCGCTCGACTGGAATAGGAAAGAGTTGGAGAGCCTTGGGCTTGGGGCTGAAATCCACAAGACGGTTAATAATACCAAATCAATTGCTATGTGTCATATATTGACTCATATGCTCCTCTTGGCTATGCCTTGAGTCTTTGGGATCAGTAGTTTCCTGTTTGGAATTGCTACCCAATTGTGTGTCAAATTGAGGGATCAATCCACAATTTGAATCCAATTATCATCTTTTGTACTCTGCAGCTGGCTTAAACAGCTGTTATACAACACTGGAAGGACAAATCTATACCTGATTTGTAACAATGGGTTGTTGGTGTGTGCAGTGTCAACATCTCAGTTTGGAGTTATTTTCTTCTTTTTTTTTTCTGATGAAGAGGCAAAGAAAATTACTTTTGAACCATAGGATCAAATTGTCCTGTAGTCGTTCTGTCTATAATGTAATTTTCCAGCTGTTGTTTTGTTTTTGCCTTTTCATTTTTAACTATTGCAATGATCTATTTTGACATTATAAAGTATTGTTAATACAGTTGTAGGCATGTCTTTGTTAACCGATTGCCTAATCTAAGTTCTTTTGTTAATTAATTTAATATAATAATTACACACCCATGCACGCTATTGCAAGCCAAGCATGATTAGAAGTTGGAACGCTTTTTCTATCCTTCAGCACACACAGCCCACAGAAATCCATCAGTCAGAAGTATGGGTTTCAATTAACGTCACAGATATACATAATCATTTTCTATTTTTAATATTTGCGTGCAGGGTAGAGAGAGAAAGCGAGGAGAGATGCAAACATACAGGAGAATATAAAACACTTCCACCACTTATACAAACGTGTAGCAAATTGGTGCCCAACCCACCAATTATTTTCACCGTTCTCCTTCCTGCCATGAATGCCAAAAATCAGGGAATTTGTTTCCTGTCATTCTGAGTCAGAAAATGCACTATAGAGTATCTTAGTCAATGCTGCATCGGCCTGAGAGAAGTTGGAATGTTTTAAATAGAAGATACATATTCAAGGAACTGTCTTATAATGGAATGAGAAGAACTACAGCCTGATCTAGCCCACAGCCAGAACATACCTGAGCATAAGGGAGAATAGCCATCAGAGCCCCCAACGGCGTATAAGAACCCATCCAGCACTGCCAAGCCTAGGCCTTTTCGACGACGGTTCATAGGTGCCATCTTCTGCCATCTGTCCAACACAGGGTCATATCTGAAAGGGATGAGCAATGGTGAGAAACTAGATGATGGTGCAAAAGCAATTCGAGGGTGCAGCACACTTCTCCCAGACTGGTACCTCCCAAGCCCTACACAACTGGGCAAGATCAAGAAAGCCAGAATTACATCGTTTTCAGTAGGGGACCTTCATGCTCATCTTGGGGGAAACACAGACTCTTGGCAAGAAGAATGACCCACCCTTGTTGAGGGCGAGTTCATTAAGATGGAGTCTTGAAGAATGGTTTGAAATGCTTCTTCCCCAGTTTCTCACCACCTGGGCTGGGTTGCCATTCACGAGATAATCTGCCAATGGATTGATTGCCTTTCTTTTGATTATATGTTCTCTCCTGTAAGCTTCCCAAGGTGACGAACTCCAGCCCCATCTCCTCCAGCTGTTCTGCCAATCCATTTTGATTTAAATTTGGGGGGAGATCTTTGAGGGAGGTCAAATGCTGTCAAATATATATCTCAGCTACCATGGTAGGCCAGCATGGCCTCAGATAGGCATCCAAATTGGGCTTACCTTTCCACAATGTTGAGACACACCAGCCCATCAAAGCCACCAGCACAATATAAATAGCCACCAAGTTCAACCATAGCTACATCTTGCTTGGGTTCACTAAGAGGTGCGACATCTCTCTTCCACTCATGGATTTCAGGCACATACCTACCATGAAAGAAAAAAATGGAGGACAGGTTCTGGTGAGTGCTTTCCTGCACAGGAGAAGGAAAATTTGACCCAAAGCAAAGACTTGTATAAGGAGATTGCCGCCAAGCTGGAGTAAATAAACATAAACCACCCTAATTCAATTTTTTGGCTTGTATCACAAGGAACAAGGTTAATCTTCCAACAAAATGCTCCTTTTTCCAAGGTGCCCTCCAGCCTTCTGCAGCAAACAGGGGCTAAAAAATCATATGACACAACCTTGACCCAAGATTATATTTCATTGGCAGACGGAGCAGAGGTCAGTACTCAACGGCAGCCTTTATGGAATGAGCTGGAGATGTTGAGTTTAGCTCTGAAGAGTTATAGAGCCGTAGGGACTGTCAAAGTAATCCATCGGATCTAACAGGAATGACAAGGTGCTGAAGAGGCACCAGGGATGTAATGACGATTCTTGTTAGGCCATCAGTCACAACACGCTTGCAAGCTGTGTGCTCTTTGCTAAAGGGAAGATGTACGCAGGAAAGGTGAAAGCGATAGGAAACCCCAGCCATAGGACAGGACACAACCAGGGAAAGAAGAATCACAGATTTCAATCAGGAGTTTTGGGGAGCAAGTGCAGGATCTTGAAAACTCTGATAGGAACCTCCAGCCTTTTTCATTAGTGAGCTTGTTAAGGCAGAGTCTCTTTGAATATGCTGAATCTCTTCTTTTTGCAGCCTGGATCGAGCTGTTGTGTATGAGATAAGCTACTAACAAACTCTACAGCTAGCAGTTCATCTGTTCGTTGCTGATTTTTAGAGTTCTTCCCGTTCCCCTCTCAGCTTCCTCGCGACAAAAGAGTTTGCCCTGATCCCACTCCGAAAACAAGCTTTAGAAAGAAAGGTTTGGATGAGTTGGGATCAATGAACAAAATATGCACTTTAACAACGACCCTCAGTGCCCCATAAAACAATGACAACCAACAGGCGACCCACACAAAATATCAGAGATTTAAAAAGCTGGTATAAAATAAATTTGCAGACGATGCCACCACGTCAAGATTCAGATGAAATGTTAAGAAATGAATAGCAGGTTGAGTAAAACTGATCGCCCTCTAAGTCAGTTTTACCCTTCCTGGGCAAGGAATAAGAACCCTGGTTTAAATCTGGTGCTCTATTCAGAAACATTTCATTTAGACACAAAAGGAGAGAAAATAAACTTAAGTAGCTGCCTATTTAACCCCACAATTATCTGGAGTTTTCAAAAAATGCTGATGTTTCCATCTCTGACCCGTTTCTCCATGATGAGGTCTTTTCCTACCCCCCATAACAGCTGTAGCTGTTTTCCAGGGTTTCAACAGCTGTATGAGACTCTTCCCATGTTTCTGACTAATGAATCCAGGGGGGCACCATTCAGGTCTGCCAAATGTTAAGGGGTCTCATCACTCAAAGACGCTTATTATTCCTGGAGGTCATTTCTCAGCTGACGGAGATGACACTTCTCCCACCGTACTATCAGCCTCAGTTGACAGAGACAGCTTTGTCTAACGGATGGAAAACATCTAAAATTCAGGCATGAGTTCACCCAAGAAGCATTTTCTCCCAAGCTTCTTGTTTGTTTAGCTTAATGGCAGCAGGTGCTTTTTTTAAAAATAAAAATCACTGCTGGGCACTGATGACTGGAAGTTGCTTGCTTAAGCCAGCACAGAGAGCTGTCGGTAACCCGCTTTGGATATGGAGAATGTATCACCTAAAGCACAAGTGAGAGAAACTTGCACTTTGCACCTGTTTGGAAAGAAATAGTAACTCTGAGTTTCATGCTGATTGGAATCCCCTTATTGACTTTTTGCAGGAAACAGAAAAAAAAAATGAAATTGCGATGCATGGCTTGGATGATTAGGAAAAAAAAGATTATAGAAAAACATGGAAGCAATGATGTAAGCATAAATTAAGAGGTTAGTTTACATTTGTACTGCTGTAAAAGAAAATCAGAAGTCATTATTTTATCTTTCTTTTTTCCCTGCACCTTTAGCCTTGTTCTCATTTCTCTCTTTTTCCTTCTCTCTTCGTTCTAAATATTGGTTCTTGTTTGTTGTTATCTTTCTTTTAAAATCTTTTAATAAAGTTGTGTTGAAAGAAAGAAAGAAAGAAAGAAAGAAAGAAAGAAAGAAAGAAAGAAAGAAAGAAGGAAGGAAGGAAGGAAGAAAGAAAGAAAGAAAGAAAGAAAGAAAGAAAGAAAGAAGGGAATAGTAGCTCTGGAGTGTTAGAAGTGTTTACGTTTTCTTTTTAGGGAACTGATGTCATTGTATAATTGACTAGGCTTGCAAATAAATAGACATCATAAAAATACCAGGAGTGTCTTAGTCATCTCCCAAGGAAAACGAACTGCCCAGAACATTTCAGGCAGGGAGAATTGTCAGTAACTTCTTCTCACTCCCACTCAGACAGTGGTGCCTCCAGAGACTCCATAAACCATGTGTGCACAACTTCAGGCCTGAAGTAGGAGCAGGGAGTCGAACTTCAGCGTGGCCGCTTTCAGACGGACAAGATGGGAGAGAAAACCAACTTAGAAAAAAGTCCCTGGGATTGAAGAAAACGAGGGTCTCACATTAGACACACTCCCTGTTTGTTCTCCCAGGCCCTCCCCCTTTGCAGCCCCCCAACATGTCCTGCTGTTCCCCACCCCAAGCCAAAAGGAAGTGGGGGGGGGGGGGGTTATTACTCAATTTGAAGCCACCAACGCCAGCTGACTCACAGCAAATGAAGAGCAACATAAAAGCAAACATGCAAAGTAGACCGGAACAAATTCCAAAAATAACTAGAAAATAGCGGACGGATCCTGCCGTCAACCAAACCGAGATGCTCTTCCCTCCGGGCAACCACTTACCTCTCCACACTATTGAGGCAAACAAGCCCGTCATGGCCACCCGCTGCGTAGATGGATCCGTTCAGGGACGCTACAGCCATGCCACTCCGGTGTCTTGGGACCGAGCCCAGGACCTGCCACTCGTGATCCACGGGGCTGTAACGCTCCATGCCACTGGCGATGCCTGTAGAGCTTAATCCCCCAACTACAGATTAAAGTAGTTAAAAAACAAATGGTTAAAATATTGCCAGCTCCCTCTGGTCCTCTTCTGCTTGCAGTATTGTCATTCTAGCTAGTTGTCTTCACTGGTGGCTTCAGCGTCAAACTGGGGAAGAAGGCTGTAAGTTCTGCTGGATGGGAGAAGACCAAAAGCCACCCACGCAATGGGGATCCCAACACACAACAGGGAATTGTTTCAAAGAACGAGGAGACATTCTTTCTGCAGAGCTAACTCTTTACATTTGCAATTCCCAATCATCTGGTTAGAGTCGAATTACCCTAAATAAGGCAGTTGGCTTGAGGAAATATAGGGGGGAAATGCTGTGCAGGAATTCCCTTCCTTGTTTATTTTACCCAACCCTGGTTGATTTGCTCAGAAGCCAGACAGAAAACAGCTGGACGGAGACTCCTTCCTGACCCTCACGCTACTGGCTTTTTTTTTTTTTAAAGCAATTTAAAACTTTTCCCTTCTAGCCATCGACTCCCAAAGCAAAACAAAAACCGAATGGGTGTAGTGAATCTACTGCCTACCGCTTTTCTTTAAGGCAAGAATCGATTGTCCTCATTAAGAGCAGAGTTTCTAAAGACATGGATGAATTCCACCACCAGCATCCCCTCCAAGGAACGAAAGCTTGCCAGCTGGCAAAAAATTGGGGAGAGGGACATTTTCCAAATTGCTGTCCTTACAGAAGGAGTTCTGCTGAGAAGCATGGGAAAAATGGTTCATTAAGTGGGAAGTAAATGAGATTCTTAATCGGCTCTTTATATTTTGGCAAAGAGTAGTGTCTTTCCATGTGACTTTCTGCCAGGATTTTCTTTTTTTTTTTTAACATGGGAACTCAAGAGGAATGCTGGGTCAGGTTAAAGATCTACTTAGTCCATCATCCTGTGGTACCCAAAGATCAATCAGGTACATTTGGGAAACTCACAAGGCTGGGCAGAAGCCCGACAACCTCTTCCTCCATCTCTTACCAAGTTTGAAGGTTTGCTGCCTAGGATTCAGGAAGAAGCAAAGATCCATCCATCCTTTTCAAAACTTATTCAATTACCTCTAGTAGCAGAGAGTTCCATGGTTTCTATGTCTTGGAAAGAGGGGGGTCCAAAGATGCCTTTCACAGTCTGTGACTTGTGCTTGTCCTTACTCCTGGTTATTAATTACAACTTGCTGAAAACCCAAATGGTGGTGTAGAGAAAGAAAAAAAGCTGGGCTCCTACACTGCACTAAGGCATAGTTGGCTTCATTATGGCTTGTTGAATAAACAACAGTTTGCTGAGTTTGCACAACACACTGACCCATCGGCCAGGATTTGCAGATTTGGTTTATTTAAAAAGCTAAACAAGCTACATTCATGATTTCCTGTGTTGCCATGCAAACGCTGGATTCAGCTGAACTCACAATGGCAAAGCCCATCTCTTAATTGGCTTCTGTGGTTGGGCATGCTAGTGCCCTTCTGCTTTGAACAGTACACAACCTTTTCCTTGCCTAAATTACAAACACAGATTACCCAACGTCAAGGAAATCTCAGCATTCTGAAAATACGGAAGAAATCAATGTGAGCTATGTATGACGTTTTAACAATATAGATAAACAGTCACTATAATTGGACTCCATTTTAGCAATATAGTCATCATAATAGGATTCTAACTTTTAGTTTTGAAACCATAATCATTCCTTGGGTATTATCCCTCCTTTTACATTCATCACTACATTTTCTCTAGATATAATAATAGTAATTACAATTTTTCCATAGCTTTCAGTATTACCATGGTTCGATATATTTCAGATCAGCAATCTGACTATTCTATTATTCTAAGCAATCATTTAGTTGCCTTATATAAATTGTATCGTACTTTGTATATTTTTACGCCCCGAATTCTTAAACTTACAATTCCACTTGTATTGTTATATGATTTTATGGCTTGTTTTACTCTATCAGTTGTAACGTTTTTGTTTTGCTTTGCTGGTCAATGACCGAAATGAAATGACTATGTATGACAGATTTGAAAGCTCTGGAGATGTTCTTAGGAAGGGAAAACATAAAATTGAAATGAAAGCAAAGGCAACTGTCCCAGTTTTGCATCTTGCCAATAACAACCATCCTTAGGAAGCCTCAAGGATGTCCTGCTAACTTTTGGATGAGTTGGGTTTTTTTTAGAAACTTGAGCTTTTTCTTAATTGTTTTCTTTGCAATGCCACAAGACCACCTATGAGTTTCTAATAACAGCTCCTCCTAGGAAAATTGCCATCCCAGCCGTCACTCCAGTCTCAGCTTGCTACCACTTAGAAAAGTGGTAAATAAAACACTTACGCACCACTAATGGGAAACTTTGCTTGCTTCGTAAAGGTCTAAGCTAAGTTAGAGCTAATTCCACGTCTTCAGCATTAGCAGCAGTTCTTGTCTTCTCAAGACTTGGCAATCAGAATGTAAATGTGAACCCAGTTCATTAAAAGCAAAAATAAAACTGCATGTGTAGGCATCTCCCATCTCTAGCAGAATGAGAGGACAAAGGGATAAATTTACTTTTGCTTCTTTTCAGCCTCTGAACTATTCAGTCCAACAGACATCTGCCTGACTAGCAGGTGAAGTTATGATCCTTACAGTATTAAGAACTGCTACACCATCATCATCATTTTGCTTTCTCACCCCATCTTTTTCCATTGATTTCCTGTCTTTTTATATGAGAAGCTCTCTTTTTCTTAATCTGTAACCCTTTGTGGCTGAAGTGTGAGGAATAAATGCTTTAAAGGTTTAACATTCAAAAATAAAAGTGTTCTAAAATCTTCTGGATCTTCTTCTCTACACCCCACCCATGAGAGGAGAGCATTGTCAGCTTCTCCCCCAGAAAAATACAGAAAATACCACACAATATACTTACTAGCATAAAGAATCTCTAAGGGACGTCCATTGTTGGAAGATGTATGCTTGGTTCTCCAACTAACCAGCTTCCTGTTTGGCTTGATCTGCTCCCTGCAGCAACCCAAGATGCTATCATCATTAACATTATGAAAACATTACAAATGATTGCACTTCTGTAAGAAACCTTCCAAAGGAAAACTAAGTGTTATGTTGGAGAAATTTAAAATGGGCTGTAGGTTTTGGCCCTTGCAAAGGGAATTTGATGCCAGAGACATTTGAGGAAGGCCTAAAAAATAAAAAAAAAAGGCCAGGAAATTTTAGAAACATCTGTAGATGCCTCTTTGATTCCACTTACCACCCCTAGACAGTGTGTCTTCGACTCAGAGTAAGCAACAAGCAGAGGACTATTTTAAAGAGACCTAAAAGGAGTTTTGATCATCCCCTAAGGAATGGGTGCTCATGGGTCCTGCTTTACTAATTATAGCCCTTTCTTTGAAGGGCTGTCTTGTCAAATCTGGTTTAAAGGGAAACTACTCTAAGAAGGAAGAACAGCATAGATCTGTTCTATTTGGCCAGTGAAGCCCACCACAATTTTTTTATTTTTAACTTAGCAGATCACAGCACCTGGCTAACCTTGTTGGGTAGGGAAGCTAACCAGGGTTAGACTTAGATGAGAGACTACCAAGGAACCCAGGGCTGTAGGCTAGACCAAGAAGTCAAAAATGTCCTGGAAAAAAGGCAAATGATCAATCATTTTCATCCTGTTCCCAGGCAAATGACACAGCCCTGCCATCACCAAGAGTTGGTTATAGTTTATATACTTTTTGGTAGCTGATGACTTCTGAACAGCTTCTGAAATTCTGCAAAAATGGAATACAACTCAGTAATGTTACTAAACCACTATCTACGGGCTATTTTAGTGGGTTGACCTCCTTCTCAGGGCTGTTGTGATGCTAAAGGAAAAGCCTCTGTTCTGTCCCGTTACCAGTTTGAACTTTTTGTGAGAGAAAAGGGTGGAAGTTGCAGTTAAACATTCATAAATGGTCACCCCAAATCCAGCATCTTCAGGGAAAACTGTGATTCTAGGCTAACTAAAAAGAATTTATATAAATGATATGACATATAAATTTGATAAAATATGATATAGGAACTTATACAAATGAAATGATAGTTATTTATACACACACACACACACACACACCATCGGCCATGCTAATAAAACAAGGAAAATGTGGGCTGTTAGTAATCACCCCCAAGCCTGATGTTCTGTCAGTTTTTCCAGCATGCAAAGTGAATTAACTTACCCTCTTTCTTCATATACACCCATCCTCTCGCCTTATGGATGCTCCAGAGAGACTGGCCCTTGAATCAGGATGCAAAGTCACAGGCTTATATCCAAACTGAGAAGCCAAAAATAGGAATGGTAGACATCTCTTCAGTGAGTCACACGCCGGGGGAATTCTCCTGAAACCATTGTTCTTCTCCAGAAAGGCAAACGTCTGCATAACCAGACACCCGATATCCAGCCAAAGGGATCTAATTCCAGCTTGGAACTGGGAGGATGGTTTCATGAGGCCCTCTTGAGATCATCTTGCCACTTTAAATCCCATTTCTTTTGCCCCAGTGCAACTCATGACATGAATGGGGCAATCAGACCACTGTTGGAGCACTCACTCCAAGACCACGCTGCTTCTGTTCTGATGCATGTAGAAAAAAAAAGCGGGGGGGGGGTTAATTGCATGGTTGTGGCTGACTTTTTTGACCCCCTGCAGATGTCCCTGGAAGGAAGGATGGAAGAGAAAGAAAAAGAAGGGGGAAGGGAAAGAAAGGGGAAAAGAAGAAAAGGCTAAATCCGTGCTGGTGGATCCCACATCAGATATGGTTGTACCCAGGGCCAGGTTTAAGGGGTGCCTGGGAAATGTGGTTTTCCTGAACCCTCTAACTTGACAGTGGCAGCAGCCAGAGAGCCACAGGGATGACACTGAACTATTGGCAGCTTCTCCCAGTATCAAATTTATGTGCCCTTGATGATGATTGTGCCATCAAGTTGTTTTTAACCCTTAGCAACCAAGTAGATGGATTTTCTCCATGATGATCTAACCCTAACCTGATCCTTCAGGTCTTCCAATGGTGCCCCCATCACCACTATCACTGAGTCCATCCACTTTGCTGCTGGTCGTCCTCTTCTTCTCTTTCCTTCCACCTTTCCCTGCATTAGAGCTTCTCCAGAGAGCTGGGTCTTTGCATAATGAATCTATGCATTAAGCTGCGTATTTAAAAATCATATAGAAGAATTGGGTGAGGTCACACCATTCTTCTTATTCCTTTCACAAAATTTCTATGCCACCCCAGTCCAGCTACCATTCTTGTCTGCCATCCACGGAGAGAGGAAATCACAAAATATTAGAGCTGTAAGTCTTAAAATCAAAGACCTTGAATGGATATCTTTGATTTTAGGACTTTGATTCGTTTAAAGACCTGTCATAAATCTCCATAATAAAGGGGACATGGCTGGACCATTAACCTGTTACTTTGGCAGCCAACAGAGGAGGTTTATACTCCAAAATTTAGAAGTATTGGGAAAAGAGAAAGTAGCCCAAGTTTTATTTCCTTCCTATAATTTCATGGCTCTGGCTTGTAATAAGCTTTCTCTTAATTTGCAACAGAATGGCAAATTCTGTTGCAAACTGAATTGCAAATTCAAAAGCAGAATGCACACTCTGTTGCAATTTCCCCCCAGAAATATTTCAAATACACTCATCGCCAAAGTTCGAACATTGCCACAAGCCACCATTTGTGTGACCATGGTTCATTGACTATCCGACCAGCAGTTGCATTTATGCAACACACTAAGCTATAAACCCCAGTTTGCAAAGCCCAGTGGCTGAGTCCATAGGACAGGCTAACCCAGAGCCATAGTTTAATGAGATGCATGTGAATTGAACCACTAATGGAGTCCCAAGTTGGCTTCTAGAAAATCACACTGCAATTGCACCCGATCAGAAACATGTCTCCTGAAATTACAAGCTTGCATCCATTTCAGCTGTGTTTATTTGTTAAGATAGCAATCAAATCTTGATGTACGGTATCAGGTTTGTTTGCTCCCTGGTTTGTTTCTCATTCTTTCCTCAATGGCTTGTGAGGTGGGACAGGCTGAAGAGTGTTGACTAGCCTAAAGCCACACAGTGGTTGAGTTCACACAACATACCAGATCAGATTACAGCGGGTTTTGGAAGATTGTGGTTTAGCATGTTATGGGAACCCAATCATTGACATAACATGCCTTGGGAACAAGCCTATGAAGTTTAGCTATAATATGGTTTATTTGGGGACATGATGAACACAGCCAGTGCATTTTGCTCACCTCAGCTTAGAGCTCTATTGTTTGAGTGTCATTTGACATAGCAGAGAAGGCCTGTGAGTTTCTCTCAAAACTGCTCTTAAACTAGCATGATTACACACAGCCGTGAGAACATGGGATTCAGGAAAACAGTGTTCCCCTGTTGGAAGAAGACAAAGAACTGGTTCTCACCTGTTTTACATCTTGTAGGTATTTCGGGATGGTTTGCATCTGAGCCTTCCCCCAGCCGGGCCCTCCCCACAGCTAATGGCACCACGCGGTCGATGGAAACCGTGAAGAGACTCGCCCGAGCAGCTGTTGAGAAGCTGAGAGGGCTGAAGCGTCTGCATGTGCCAGGCTGCGCTTTGCACCTGTGGAAAGAGATCTCTTCCACATGCCGCGCGAGCCTTGCATGCTTGGCCAGGCAATGGATCCCCCTGTCCTAAGCACGGAATGTGGCCACACATTCCTCTTGGTCCCCGCAGACTTATAAATAAATAAATAAATAAATAAATAACCCTCTGCAAATCAGAATCTAACTTAGTGGAGAATCAGGAACTATCAGAACAATGATCACTACCTACGTCCAAAGTTTGCTGTCCTTCCTTCCTTCCTTCCTTCCTTCCTTCCATCCATCCATCCATCCATCCATCCATCCATCCATCCATCCATCCATCCATCAACATCTATTTAGCTTGGAGCAATGCACTCAAATGAACACACACACACACACACACACACACACACACGCATAAACACAGAAACTCAATCATGTATCAGTTG